CTACCGTCATTACAGCTGTTATATCTGCCACAACAATCGTCTTGGCACTAGCTGTATAGCACTCGTCGAAATACTCAACCATGGCGGTCTTGATAGACCAAAACATCTCCGATAACTTTCCCCAAACAATCTCGATCACCTCCTCCCGGATGATCTCACTGACATGAGCCTCTAACAACGGTGGCCTATCCTGGCTGTCAACTCTCGATCCTGACCCGGTTCCATCTCAAGACGTATCGTAACCACCATTCTGGTAATTCACCAAAAAGATCTATGATAATCCATATAATGACAGGGGACCAACCCCTTACCCCACCCTAGGGGTTGTGACCTCCTTGATACGCGTATGGGTCCTGTGCTTTCAGTAGTATGGGCCCCTACTACCTTCCACACCTACCCACATTTGTCTCAAGTATCACCACAGCACCCTAACATCACACATACCCCTGGTGGTCGCTCAACCTCACTCCTAGAGGAAGGCTAACTATCTCACAACTGAACTACCGGTCTCACACACCCCACCCATCCATGAAACTTCCACCAACCCTGCAACACTAGTGTATGCTAGCCATACATAATGCTGGACCCTATAGATTTTCGAATATCCAATCCTACCCTAAGCTCCTAATCAAACAAGAACAGAACGTACGGCCAAATCAAACATTCTCAAGCTATAAGATCTTAATTATGTATAACCGTGATGCATACACTAAGCAACTACAGTAATGATGTCAATCTCATATCAAGGAAACCCTAGGCTAGCAGGCATCATATAATCAAGAAATTCTATTATGCAATTCCTGAAGAACCCTAGCCTAGTACTAACATGTTGTTCTAACATATCTCATAATCAAATAACTTGTATGGTATTTTGGGGTCTACTTACTGGCTCCGGCTGATCGTACACACTGCATCCTTCTTTACTTATTTTGAAAACCTTTTTGAAGAAAAAAATCATTTTGAAAATCCTTTCCTTGATTTGAGACTGGAGTTACACGAGTGTTCCTCCAATTCACTCAAACCAAGGCTCTGATACCAACTTGTAACACCCAAAAAATTCAAGCCAATTTTAAACTTTTAAAAACATTTAGAAACCAACAGTTATTATAAATTTATTTTCAAAACAGTTCTATATCAGAGTATCCCAGAAACATAGTCATAAAAAGTGAGGAGCTGTATGATCACGCCTTTGCCTTGCCATTCCCCTGATGTACCTGAAACAATAAACTGAAACTGTAAGCCCGAAAGCTTAGTGAGTTCCCCCCAAAATACCGATACACATACAGTTCACATAACTATAACAACAATATCATATCATAAAAAACTGAACAGAATAGCATGTACTAGGTCCACAGCTTTACAAGTTGGACTACCCCCTGGGCCCTCAGTCTGAGTCTGGAATGCCTACCGGCCCTCAGCTTGTATCTGGAATTCTATCGAGCCCTCAGTACGAGTCTGGAATGCCTACCGGGCCCTCAGCTCATATATGGAATGCTCCCGAGATCTCAGTATGAGTCTAGAATGCCTATCGAGCCCTCAGCTCATATCTAGAATACTCCTGAGTCCTCAGTATGAGTCTGGAATGCCTATCGGGCCCTCAGCTCATATCTGGAATACTCCTGAGTCCTCAGTATGAGTCTGGAATGCCTACCGGGCCCTCAGCTCATATATGGAATACTCTAGGGTTTGTTGGCTACCGCATGGAGCAGTACAACCTCAACCCATCTCACATAACATGTCGACATGTAACAGATAATTGCACATACAGGTAATTAATCAGTATCACAGGCAGTCCTACAGATCTACCCGACTAGCATATCAATTGGCATACATTACTAACTCATCTCAACATATCAATAATTACTAGGATATCAAATCTAATGGGTCGGCCTTGGTGTCTTAGACCCCTTAGTATAGTGAGGATAACTCACCTCGAAATGCTGAAGTCCCGTAAACACAATCCCAATTGCTGGATGATAGATTCCCGAACTATCAATATCAAAACATCACCCAATTAATAATTAGGTCCAAACACATAACCACACATTCTTGGAGTAACACGCTACATTACCCCATCTTGGCTTGATTCAAGCCCAAGGCCCAAACCAAAGACCCAAAAGTCAACTAGGAATCAAAGCCCAGCATATGGCCCAATTTTCCAAATTGGGCCCAGGCCTATACATGGTCTTATTCTAAGGCCCAACATCATATAATCATTAAGGCCCAACTATGACCCATCTATGGCCTAATTTTCCAAATTGGGCCCAACCCCTTACATGGGCCTTACCCTAGGCCCATTAAATTATTTTAGTCCATATGATTATTCTTGGACAGCCCATTAATAATCCAATCATCAAGGCCCAATAGAAAGGCCCAACAATAAACCCAAGTGAAGTTAAGGTTTCACATAAAATGCCAATTAGGGTTAAGTTTCCTACTTAGCCCATTAAGGACTTAATCCACTAAGGATTTAATCCATTGAGTCTAATATTGCTTAGATTAATTTCTGTTAATTATTATTATTACTTAATATTTCATGTTATTAAATAATTCTCAAGTGTTTGTCCCAAACAATTTCCACAATTAAGGTTTTATGACCTTAGGTTTTTTTTCCAACCCAATACTAACCCATTAGTGCCTTGGTTGGCCTTTTAGGTCACTTTGGGCCTTATCGGGCCCATTAGGGTCTCTTTGGGTCAATTAGGGCCCACTAGATCCGTTAGGGTTTCCTTAAGCCCATTAATAACATGTTTGGGCTTTCATGTCCATTAAGCCTCATTGGGCCCATTAGGGTTTCAAGGCCTATTATGGTTTAGTAGCCTCTTGTCCAAACATCCAAACGAGTCCAAAAATGCAACGAGGCACACCGCCACCAGTTACCCGACATGGCGGCTGGTGGCGGCAACCACCACTTTACGGTGGTGGTTTGGTTCTTCTTTTATTATCTTGGGTATCTTTTACAATTTACAACTCAATCCAAATAAACACCCACATACTAATAATACACACACACTAATTACACATACACACACAACCACCTTGTGGTGGCTGGCGGCGGCAGATGGTGGCAGCCACCACCTTATGGTGGTGGTAGTGATCTCTTTCCAGATTTCGGCCCAGGTTTTTCCCACTCACACAAGACAACACACACAATACACCCACCTAAGCATATGGAAATCATACACATAGCCACTATCCATGGTAGCTGGTTACGACGGAAACAAGGCAGCAAGTGGCGGCAACCCACACCCAACTTGTTAAATGCGAACACAGCCACCCAAAAATGGTGGCATCCGACGGATGGGTTTCGGTGGTCACAGCAGCGACTGAATCGGAGAGGGAAGAACGTCATTCATGGTGAGGGGTTGTCGTGTCCGTCACTACCATGACCACGATGGGTCACAATACCGAGTCTCAAAATTATATGCAACCCTCATCTTCGAGGTCAGCATCATCGATAACGTCTTGCAGTGCTGTTAACTTCTTAACAGATGGCGATGGCGATGGTGGAATGGTTGGCGGAACCACAACAATGGCGGCGCACCAGAACGCTCTTCTTTAACCACTAAAGGCAGCATTGAAGGCCATGGTCTGTCATCGTTGGCAATGGAATATCACCGCCTGAATGTCTTGTTGGTCGTATCGGTTCATGGAGGACTTTGGTGGTCGGTCGCGGCGGCTGAAAGAGACAGAAGCATAAGGTGGCGGCCAAGAAAGAGGATGGAGATGGTGGCTAGTGCTTAGAGGCTTAGGGTTAGGGTATGGACGGGAATGAAAGGCTATATACCCGGATCCATTAATCTTTGGCCCATAATGACACAAATGGTCCCCTATTCTCATCTTTTCTTTCAAAACTAATCCATAATTTAAGATTTAAACCCTCAGCCTTAAAATCTATTACACATTATGTACGAATTTACCAAATAACCCCGATACCTCCAAAATCTCTTCAAGCGAAGTCCCAATATTTACCCCTTAGTCCATGCCTTCATAAATATTTGCAAAACTAACATGGGACTTATGTTTTTAACCCCCGAATTCTAAAATTGTGACAATTAGCTCTCCGAGACCAACCTTTGCTATATAATTATTTATTTTAGGGCTTCTATTCGCTCATAAATTTTTATCTATTTAATTATTTAATAAACAGGGCGGTACACCTAGCCTACCACTAGTATGTTGTTCTAACATATCATAATTTCAAATAATAGTCTGGTAATTTGGGTTCTACTTACTGGCTTCGGCTGATCGAACACATTGCATCCTCCTTGATTATTTTGAAAACATTTTGAAAATCGTTTTTTAATCTCTTTCCTTACACTACTAGAAAAAAGGCCTTTTACGACGCTCATTGCGCGTCGTAAAACGCTCAGACGACGCGCAAACGCGTGTCAAGGAAGGCCCTATCATAAAGAGAGACGCGCATTTATGACGCGCATTTACGACGCGCGGTTATGACACACAATGCGTATGAAGGAAGGCCCTGTCATAAAGGAAGACGACACGCATTTGCGTGTCGTAACCTTATGACGTGCGTGTTTATGACACGCAATGTGTATCAAGGAAGCCCCTGTCAAGAAAGGCCATGTCATAAATGAAGATGACACACATTTTTGCGTATCATAATTTTAAATGTTTAAAAAAATATTATTTATAGATTTGCTTATTTTCAAATGAACTTTGTATTTAATGTTTAATAATAGATAATAAAATATCATATACAAAAATAGAATCCATTGCATAAATTTAATGTCATACAAATAATCGTTCCATATGTAAACAAATATATACCAAAAACATCATGTCAAAAAATTGTAATACATTTATATTAAGGGGATCTAATTGTACATTGTTATTAAGAGGTTTTCCCTAAATATATAACATAATACTAAATTGCTATTAAGGGACACCTTATGCAATGTAATGCTATACAAACTAAAAAGATATACACAAAGATGATAAACATCAAATTCCAACTAAGTAGAGTTGAATCTTGCCTTTCATACTTCTTTAAGACTAATATTGAACCCCTGCTCCGATAATTCTTGTGACCTGATCAAATAAAAGTCAAAAATTAATATGTTAATACAATTATTAGAAGAATCAAACTTGGAATGTTAGTTGTAAAAGACGAAATTACCCTTTTCTCCATCCAAAGAATTTGGGATTTGGAATAAATACACTACAATATGAATTACCTAATATCAACAATGACAAACACAATGACAAGAATACCCGCATACAAATGGTAAATATTATCTGTAAAGCTATCAACAATGATATTCACAATGACAATCTTTGATCATATAAACTAGAGAGTATATCATCACAATTCCATCTAACACCACCCATTAGAACACGTAAAGCTACTCAACCAACATATCATGTCATGTAATGTATTTTTTGTCAGTATATCTTCACATAGAAAACAAAAGTGAAATAAATAAAAATAACAACCTTCTCATTTACTGAAAATGGATATTGTTCACATATATGGGAGCCATTTTCAGAATTACCATCCCCATTTACCTGAAATCATTCATGCCATTTTAACTCAAATAATTTATTTATAGTAAAAAAAATAAATATTTATAATTATAGTGTTTTGATTATATAATATATACCCATCTGTCACTGACTCCTCATTCGTCATAAGAATGAACAAATATTTTAATTAATTACCTTGAAATGATAATAATATAAATACTATAACACCATGGCATGGTATATTTGAATAATACCTAGTGTAGCATCCAAGATAAGATGTTGACTTGTTGCTTGAGCAGATTTTGCAGTGTATGCTTTAAGGGCATCATCCCACCGTTGCAGCTTTTCATACCTTGTATTTGGAAGCAACATAAACAATTAATATTTTGAGAAAATAAGACAATGTAAATGATTTCAGGGTCCTGGAAATATACCATGATTCCTTCAGTTGTAAATCCAAACAACATCCCATATATAGTTATATACTTAAGAGAGTGAAAAAAGGAAAGTGAGCTAGTTTCTATATATGCTTACCCTCCAAAAAGATAGAAGTGAAAGTATCCAAAAGAAAGCACTTATCCACCTTGATTCCTTATATGCAATCCACACCTGATCAAAAGAAGCAATCAAACATTATTGTTATAACAAAAGTCGAAAAATCTCCTTTTCACTATAGTTGGAAAGTATATAATAAACAAAGACTTACTGCTACAATGACAATACAAAAATAGAAATCGGTTGTTGTTGCTATCATGCACCTGTGAGCATTTACAACTATGTATGAGCATTTACTATTACACTTTTTTACATAAATTAAATAAAAGGGAAATTTTAAATGGTACCTTGATAATACATTGGCATTGAATGTAGATCCATCAACGATAAGCACATAAATAAAAGTTCCCAGCATCAAGTAGCCTAGTGCAGAAATGATTATTTTTGCAATTAAAACAAAATGTCCCCTTTTGTATCCCATGGCATCCCTATATAAGCCAAATATATAATAAAATTACAAGCATTTTAGCAAACATTTTTACTTGATTTTAGTTTTTGTTATCGTTATTGGACATGTCCCTCAAAAGATATAATGGATCCTTTGATGATTCTTCTGGTGACAACTTAAAGAACTGCAGAGCCACGTATCATTTGTAATAGGGATGTAGAAGGAATGAAAATTTACTTAAAACATGTTACACTTGTAATTAATAGTAATAATAATAATAATAAAGTTTAATTACCTTCCTGCAAAAAGTACAACAGGTATCAATACAGCTGCCTTGATTCAACAAGCTTGTAACACCATGGTCAAGATCAGTTTCAAAATCCCCAGTAAACACGCCACCTGAATAGAACTGGAAACCCATGCCACTGGCATCAATGGCAACTGATACGGGTTGATTAGCGACTGCCTGTAACAATGCGGATTCACTGTTGCCCTGGCACTTTTTCATACCCAGTAATGGTGGCAGCATGGATAGCTTCTTCCTTGGTGTTGCAGGTTCCATCTGTTGCCTGATATGGGTAAGCCACCTTAGTGTTGATGCCTTTGTTTTTAACGATAAACTCAAAGCCATCTTCCATCTCGCCACCATCACATCCTCCGTTTTGTTTTTGGGGGGTTTTGATTGGTGTTTGTTCCTTTAGGGTTCCGTTTTCAGAATGGTTTCCTGTAATCAAAGATTTTGATATTAGTATGGAATTGAGTTCCAAATATTCAAATTGCAGTAAAAGAAATGATCTTACTGTTACCGTTTTCCGTAGAGCGACCATTTAAAGGAGGGGAAGAAGCAAACCCAGTGTAATCACCTGAATTCAAATAAAAAAAATGAGATAAAAAATGATTATTTTTATTTTTAAGGTAGCAGCAGAAAATTAGTTTACCGTTTGTTTGTGCTGGAGAAGATGCGTTTTTTAATTTTTCAGCAGATGATTTGCCAGGCCATTGTTTAAGAGGGCGAATAACCAGAGCTCTTGGATTCTCCCTTGGAATAAAAAGAGCATCTGCTTTTGGTGTGCTGGTAGTCTCTTCATCATCACTAAAAAACGAAACCTGTAATTGTAAAAAAAATAAATCAGATCCATAAAAAACAATAAGGGCAAAATAGTCAATATAACAACAGATATTACCTTTGGCCCATTGTTTTCGGGTGATACTTTCTAGCACCCCACGAATTTTTTACCAACCAGTACTTCATGCCAAAGCTGTGTATATGATGTATTCACCATCACCACAGACAACAACATACCTCCTATTTGGGTTGTGCTTCAAGCTCTGTGGAAAAATAGAAAAGTCAAAGTCCATATGGTTGACTATTTTCAGTTTAAAGGAAGGTAGGAACAAGCATAACTCACTTGTGGATAAAGATCACATGTTCCCAGTTCTTTAACTGCTAAAGGCAGCCTCTCTCCATCAGAAACCTGAATAAAAAATAGATTTTTTCCCATTTCATTGTTAACATAACATAACATGTATATGGGCTTTAAAGTCCAAACCTCATGATCAGCTCCCACACTCTTGATGTTAATAGTTTGAATTTCATTATGTTTAGCCCATATAATTTTTCCACTATTGTCCATGCTGGCTACAGGCTCTTCACGTCCAATTTTCACCATTATGGTTCCTTCATCATAGCCAATAACAATCCTGTAAAAACAGTAATTAAAATAAATCCAGATGAATGAAGAAGCATCAAGATTCAAGACCCACAAAACAAAAAACAAAAAGTGCTATACAAACTTACCGACGTGAACCTTTCATGTATCCAACAGCCCAAACCCTTTCAAGTCCATAGTTCAAGGTGTTCTCAAGTCTGAATAAAAAAAAGAGTGGCATAAAGTCAAAAAGTTTACATTTTTAACATATGTATAACGAGGGTATTTTGGTCTTTTGATAGGAAATGAAGAAAGAAATTGAATTCCTTCCATCCATCAAACATGGAATTTGAAGGAATCCAACAAAAATTGAATTCCATCCATTTGGAAACCAAACACACCATGGAATGGAATCTAGCATTCCGATTCTTTTAGAATCTACAAAACAAACACACCCTTAAAGGTAAAAAAACAAGAGCTCACCTGTAAGTGGTTGAATGCCATATACGGACAGTACCATCTTATGAACCTGTCATTATTATTGGAAGCTCGGGATGGAAACATACAGCAGAAACATTGTGTGTGTGACCTTCTAGAGTTTGGACACAGGTTTTAATTAGCAACTCTACAGTAACAGATCACAGTTGTGACCGTATTGCTGGATTCTCATATTGAGATAGTAAAGGGAATCAAATCAGTTTAGAAATTGTAAGTAAATGAGATTCAATTCCTATTACATAAATTAAATTCCAACTCCTAAACACTAAATTGATTTTTTTATCATTATCAAAACACAATTGGCTGATTACTACTCATGTGTATGTATAATAATAGTAAATTGAATCTAATAGGAATACATAAATTTTTATTTACCTGTGAGGTTGTCACTGTGGCAGGTTGCTTTGAACCTTGTTCATTAATCTTTGGACAATCCCCTTTTGGTTCAAACATTTAGTCAAACACCTAGTGTGCATAAAAAAAATCAGGTACTTATATCATAAAATATTATCAATTCCATGAAATATATGAGAGAGGGTAAAAAGGCACAAAAAATCGTCCAAAAAGGACCAGTAGGACATGAAACAGGTAACTATGGTTGAAAAGGGAAGAATTACCTTTGAAATAGGCCTACTACGTAGATGAAATAGGCAACAGTGGTGGTATAGTGGTGGTTCTGGGCTGTTGCGAAGGCAGTGTGGTGGTGGCTCAGGGCTGGTGTTGTGGTGCGATGTTGTAACGGTGGAGTCTGAAAGCAAACACAAATTGTGATGGAAGCTATTGTTGTTGGTGATGTCCGATTCATCAAAAGAAAATCATTCTTCGATCAATCTTCTATTTTGTGAAAGAAGATATTACTATTTCAAATGTGTTATGTTTGATTAGGGTTTGCACATAGAAGGAAGTGAAAGTCGATCGGAGAGGAAGGGGTTTGTAGAGAGAAAGAAGGGAGAGAATGAAGTCGATTTTGGCGGGTGTAGAGAGTAGAGAGGAAGAGGAAGCGGGTGTTCAAAATTTTGGGGGATTTAGTTTCCCCCCTTACTTATCAGGGAGTCCCAGAAACGCGCGTTTATTAAAATTATAAAGCAACATTTGTAGAGGACGCCCGTTTTATTATAGGTGCCCTCCGTGTTTTTAATATTTTTACATGAGACACTAATTTAAGGGCACTCAGTAATGCGCGACCTAAATCCTTAAATTTTTTGAAGAGATGACACTTTTTTAATGTCGCTCTCTAATGCGTAACATAAATCAAAGAGCGTCGTGTTTTGCGCGTCGCAAAAGGCCTTTTTTCTAGTAGTGTTAGTTTGAAACTGGATTCCCACGATTGTTCCTCTAATTCACTCAAACCAAGACTCTGATACCAACTTGTAACATCCATAAAAATTATAAAAAAATTTAAACTTTTAAAACCAAACCAAAATCATAAATTGTTTACAACATAGTTTTCAAAACTTGTTCTATATCATAGTTTCCCAAAATCATTAGTCAAAAGACGATGATGTGTACGGTCACGCGTTCGCTTTCCCGCTATCGTGTAATACTCTAATTTTTAAAATAAATTTTTCATTTTTAAAATCCCATAAAACCCAATATCACATTTCTCAAAAACCACTAAATGTATAAGTTGTTAAAACAAAAGGCAACAAATGTTCGATACTATCCCAGAATCCTCAAAAACATAATATCTAATCGGTGTGTACAATCAATCCGGTGTCTTACCACGATCCAAAGAGGTACCTGAAACACATATCACTCAACACTATAAGCATGAAGCTTAGTGTGTTCCCCAAAAGACCACATACAAAAATAATAAGCCTCCCATGGCTATAGCTTGGCATGGACCCTCCAGTCATGCATCTCGGTGAGGACCCTCCAATCTCAGGGCTCGATATGGATCATCCGGTCATGTGTCTCATTGAAACCCTACGGTCTCATAGCTAGGGATGGACCCTCCATTCCTGTATCTCAGTGAAGACCCTCCAGTCTCACAACTCGGTTTAGACCCTCCAGTCCTAACACAGTAAGGCACATAATAATATATTGCATAAATCACAAAGATAAGATGCATAATATCACATAACTCAATATAAGCACATAAGACCCTCTTTTTGATAACTCAAATAAGACTCTCTGGTCACACAGTATTACCACTCAGGTAAGTATAGTGAGACGACTCATCTCATAAGTAAGCAAGTAGGTCCCGTACTACACGAACGATCTAGAATCCGCCTACATATCATAATCATCTCTAATTAACACTTTATAACCACAACCCTAAAAAGTTAGGCTAACCCCTTCTCTAACTCTCGGAAAGGGTGAAAGACCGTTTTACCCATCCATGATCCCCATAATTCATGTCTTGACCAAACCCTAAATGTCAACGGAAGTCAACACTCAGTCAGCAGTCCATTGTGACACAACTCGTCGAGTTCCTTTGTTTTCTTTGAAGTATCGGGAAAATCCTACTCAACTCGTCGAGTTGTCTCACCAACTCATCAAGTTATAACGCGTCCAGACTATTGGGGAAAACCCTAGCCAACTCATCGAGTTGGCTCATCAACTCATCGAATCCCATCAGTTCATTCTTTCATTCAAACATTTTTAAGCATAAATATGGGTCCATACTCTAGATCTAGCCTTCTAAGGCTGAAATATCACATAAAGCTTCAAGTTTTAATTCCATGCATGGCATCTAGGGTTCAAAATGCCAAAACTAACTCTATAGAGGGTTTAATGCATGAAAGTTGTCCAATAGCTTGATAAAGTCTGAATATTTATGCCCAAGGGACCTCATACTATCCAGATCTGGAGTCTCAACTCCATGGCAAGATCAAATAACTTAATGACCCAAAGAAAGGATAGAAATTGCCATAAACTACCTAGTGATGAGATGTAACACCTAATTCCTAGTACGTATTTAAATTCAAGTACTTTTCATGTTTTGCCCTAGGACTCAGCGAGTTGGAGGCCCAACTCGTCGAGTAGACTCGATTTTGGACACGGAGGTTTAGTGAACTACTTGACGAGTCGGAGGACCGACTCGATGAGTAGGAGCTATCTGGATGAAACCCTAATGTTAGGGTTTGCACCCCATTTAAACGACTTATTCTGACTCAACCCAGCCCCCATCGTCCCGACCAACCCAGAGAAACCCTAACTCGAAACCCTAAGCCCCCTTTTGAGTGTTCTTGAGATTGACGGTGCCTTTTTGTGTGTACTTGAAGTTGGAAACGAAGAAGAAAGCTTGGAAGTTCAAGTGGAAGCTAGTAGATCAAGAGGTTGTGACTCATTTCCAACTTATTTGAGGAATAAAGCTGATACCTTGGCTATTCATTACTTAGATCTTGATTTGGGGCTATTTTCTACTTTTTCTAAGCTTTAATGGAGTTATATTCAGATTTGTGAGTAGAAGTGGATTTGTGCTTCAAATCTGGAACGATTGAGGGTTCCCATGGCATAAAGGTGCCAACTCTATGGCCATGGGAGACCCATGCTTCATGTATACCTCTTTTATGCCTTTTTGAGCCAAAACCCCGATGCATGTACGTCAAGATTGGAACTTTACGTGTAAAAGGGACCCTAGGAGGCCAGATCTAAGATTTGGGTGCATTAAGACCCATTATAATCGACTGTATAGTTTTAGACAAGGAGGGACTCGACGAGTCGCTTGGGTGACTCGGCGAGCCGGGATGCATTTTCCCCCCAAATGTCTTCTTGAAATGGTTTTTGGTTGAGTAGAAGGAACACTCAGCCTGCTAAGGGTTTGTTATGGACCTGGAAATCATAGGACTCGACGAGTGGATGAACAAACTTGGCGAGTTCAGGACAATGTCCCAACCACATGAAGACGGACTCGACGAGTTCAAGGATGAACCAGGTGAGTCATAGACTGAACATCTTCATATGGATGAAGATGAACTCGATGAGTTCAAGGACGAACTTGGCGAGTCAGTTGAAGATAGTCAAATGTGTTGTTGATGGCGAACTCGTCGAGCTCTTGCTAGACTTGACGAGTAAGGATGGGATTATGGCAGTAGGTGGACATGGGGACTCGGCGAGTTGGTGGACCAACTCGATGAGTCGATTCAACTAGATGTCGACTTTGACCAAAGTTGACTTTAACTATGGTTTGACCTTGACTTTGACTTGGACTTGAGTTAACCTTTGTAAGGGTTACGAGTATGAATTGATAAGTTAGAAAAGTTGTTGTATATGGATTGAGGATTCGAGGAGAGTTGGTTTTCATACCGAGATCAGTTAAGACACTACACGACTTTGAGGTGAGTTTTATCCTAGTAGGAGTGGGTCTACGACCACAATGTCGGCCTACAAGTAAGATTGTTGGATAGATGATTGTCTTTGTGATAATTATATAGTGTTGATATGAGATATGATTATTGTGTCTGATATGATTATTGTGCTTGATATATTTACTGTGCTTGATATGTGTTAGTAGTAGTATGGGGTGAAATAGCCCCTGGTTACCGGTTGAAAGATACCGAAGGGGAGGGTAGCTCCCAGTTACCAGTTGAAAGATACCGAATGGGAGGTTAGTTCCCGGTTACCGGTTGAAAGATAATGAGGATGTGCCCAACTCCTGGCTATGCTCGACAGTTACCGGTTGAAAGATACCGAAGATTATGCACTATTTGGTATGGGTATGATGGGGGAACTCACTAAGCTTTGTGCTTACGGTTTTTTAGTTTTGGTTTCAGATACCTCTTCATCTAAGGAGAAGAAGTCGGTAGGGTAGCAGCACATCACACATTAACACATGATATTCCGTATTTGAGAAACCTAGGATTGTACTACGATATTATATTATTTACTAATATGGTTTTGAGACTTGTGATTTGTGACTTTATGTTTGAAAGGATTTCAATGTTGTTTTCCGTTAATTATTTTTAAAAGTAATTTACTATAAAACAAAAAAAATTGGGTCTCAATTTTGTGATGTTACAAGTTGGTATCAGAACCTTGGTTTGAAGGATTCGGGCACACCATCAGGGATGTCTGGACTCAAACCGAGGGCTTGATGGATTTTTATAAGAGAAATATTTTTCTAAAATTTAAAAATAAGGATTTTGGGAAAGAACAAGGTGTGTGATGCGTGCGACCGACTGAGCTCAAGTAAGTTTTCCCCAAGATACCCATACATGTTATCTTATGTTATATTTTATGATTATGAGAACTACATTCTAAACTTGGGCTAAGGATCTAGGGAGGATACCTTGTCTGCATGTTGTATGAGTCTATGAGAGCTGCATGCTAGATTATGGCGAAGGATCTAGGAATGATGCCTTATATGCTTGTTGTATGAGTTTATTTAGTTGTATGCTAGGGATGGTTAGTCAACAGTATGGTAGCCTAGTTAGGTTATGCTTGCTGATGGTTACTCAATGCACGAATGCTATTTACTTTGTGCATATAGGGGTTCTGGCTAGCTTTAACTAACTAGTAAGCAGATATGTAATAGTATCCTTAAGCTAGTTAGGGAAATATGGTTGGGACTCCTTGTGGAGCTGATGGCGGAGAGTAGATCGGAGAGTGCCCTAGGGCAAGCCTAGGATGAGATTAGTATGGAAAGCTATATTAGTAGAAGGGAATCGGTGAAGTCGAAGTAATCCTTGAGGAAAGTACGGATAGATGTGGAAGGTAGTATGGGCCCGTACTACTAGAAGCAGATGATATGTAATTAAATCAAGGAGGGCTAAGATAGAACCAGGAAACTTGGAGAGTGTGTGAGACCTCTCGAGAGTATGAATGACCCTGACGTTATGTGTTTATTTTAGTATGGTGGTT